CACCATCTCCTCCCTCCTAGATTGTAAGCTCGAAAGAGCAGGGCCCTCGAACCCCTCGTGTATCACATTGTATTGGTATTGTTCTGTCACATGTTCTGTCCCCCTTTGTAATGTACAGCGCTGAGCGAACTATTGGCGCTTTATAAATACTGTATAATAATAATAATATAATAATAATAATAATAATAATATATAAATCCTGTATAATAATAATATATAAATCCTGTATAATAATAATAATAATAATATATAAATCCTGTAAAATATATAAAATCCTGTATAATAATAATAATATAAATCCTTTATAATAATAATAATAATAAATAATAATATATAAATCCTGTATAATAATAATAATATATAAATCCTGTATAATAATAATAATATAAATCCTGTTATAATAATAATATATAAAATCCTGTATAATAATAATAATATAAATCCTGTATAATAATATATATAACTCCTGTATAATAATAATAATATAAATCCTGTATAATAATAATAATATAAATCCTGTATAATAATATAAATCCTGTAGAATAATAATAATAATAATAATATAAATCCTGTATAATATAACTCCTGTATAATAATAATATATAAATCCTGTATAATAATAATAATATAAATCCTGTATAATATAAATCCTGTATAATAATAATATATAAATCCTGTATAATAATAATAATATATAAATCCTGTATAATAATAATAATAATGCGCACACACACACACACATACATAGTGCTCAGCATCAATGACTCCACCCCTTTTGAAGAGTAAGATTTGAATATCTCAATGAATACAAGAACAATCTCCACCATGGGGACAGATCGGAGATTTATAGAACATTTGTTCGGCTCATTACATAAAAGGTTAATAATAGAACTTCGATGATAAATTCATCCGTTTTACTCAAATTAGTTGATGCAAAAATGAATCCCGCCCCCCCCACAACAAAGAACTACATCTAGTATTCTGTATGACCTCCATGATTGGTAAGGGCGGCACCGAGTCTTCTAGGCATGGAATGAACAAGTTGGTGACATATTGCAACATCGATATTTTTCCATTCTTCAAGAACGACCTCTTTTGGACCCTGGATGCTTAATGGAGAGCGATGATCAGCTTGTCTCTTCAGAATCCCCCATAGGTGTTGGATTGGGTTCAGATCAGGAGACAGACTTGGCCACTGGATCACTTTCACCCGGTTCTTCTTCAGAAATGCAACAGTGGCCTTAGATGTGTGTTTTGGATCATTGTCATGTTGGAAAAGTGCACGACTGCCAAGGACACGGAGTGATGGGAGCATCTTCTCTTTCAATATAGAGCAGTACATCTGTGAATTCATGACACCATCAATGAAATGCAGCTCCCCGACACCAGCAGCACTCATGCAGCCCCACAGAAGGACACTGCCACCACCATGTCTCACAGTAGGCACCATGCATTTTTCTTTGTACTCCTCACCCTTATGACGCCATACAGTTTTGAAGCCATCAGTTCCAAAAACATTTATGTTGGTCTCATCACACCCAAGCACAGAGTCCCAGTAGTCTTCTGTTTCAGCATGGGCCCTGGAAAATTCTAGGTGGGCTTTCTTGTGCATGGGCTTTAGGAGAGGCTTCCTTCATGGACGACACCCATGCATGCCATTCCTTTGCAGTGTACACTGTATTGTGTCACAGGAAACCATCACTCCAGTTTGGCTTTCTACTTCTTTAGCCAACTGCAGTGAACTAGCATGCTGATTTTCTTCAACCCTTCTCATCAGAAGATGCTCCTGTAGAGGTGTTACCTTCCATGGACGGCCTGGACGTCTCTGTAAGATGGTTGCAGTGCCATCTTAGTTACACTTTTGCTACAGTATTCTGACAGATAAGTAAAGCTTTGCGGATCTTCTTGTAGCCTTCACCTTTCTTGTGTGAAGAAATTTTTTTCTTTCTCAGGCCTTGTGACATTTCTCTTCCATCTGGTGCCGTTGCTGACAGCATGAAATGGGCGGGGTTTTCTTTGTTAAGTAACGCCCTTTTATAATCACCTGTCTGCTGGACACTGTTTAATGAATAATTAGACTCACCTGTAGCTGAATTCTTGTTCATTAGTATTTCGCCTAAAATGTAGCTTTGCTCCTAAGACTTTCATTGGGGCGTGTTCATTTTTGCAACATGGTCTTGAATAAGTTCATTATAAAAAAATACTTTTTTGTGAGTGCAAATGAACAAATCGTTTCTGCAATCAATGGCCGGCATTTGTGGGAGGATTTTGTAGTATAGTGTCCCATAGAAAATGTGGATTCTGAAAGGAAGGTAAAGGTTTTCTGACAAATCCGATGGGGTGGACTCATTTATACTGAGCTCTGTATATTTTGTATACTGTATATACTTTGAATCAGGTATTATATAAACACCTCAACCAATCAGGGAGCAGAATACCACTGACCCGGGTCTCACAGCGAGTCTTTCATACAATCAGAACTGGAATATGAAGCAGCTAACCTGATGTGATCAGACAGAAGGAGCAGCTAGAAGAGTACATGGGAAGCCCACGCCTCAGTAATCATTCCAGTATAGGGAACAAAGGCAAATACAATGCAGGCCGAGCGTGTAGCTACCCAACCCCCCCCCCCGCCCCCCAAAAAACCCCAAACCGCTAAGTAGAGCAAGATGACCCGCCACAAGCTTAATCAGTGGTTTTACACAATGCAGTCCAAATTCCTGCACCCCCCCCCCCCCCCCCGTCACCCAAATAAATTCCTGCACCTTCTCCCCCCCCTCAGGTCCCCCCAATTCCCGCACCTTCCCCCCCCTCAGGTCCCCCCAATTCCCGCACCTTCCTCCCCCCTCAGGTCCCCCCAATTCCCGCACCTTCCTCCCCAGGTCCCCCCCAATTCCCGCACCTTCCCCCCCTCTCAGGTCCCCCCAATTCCCGCACCTTCCCCCCCCTCAGGTCCCCCCAATTCCCGCACCTTCCTCCCCCCTCAGGTCACACCAATTCCCAGACCCTCCCCCCCAGGTCACCCCCAATTCCCGCACCTTCCCCCCCTCTCAGGTCCCCCCAATTCCCGCACCTTCCCCCCCTCAGGTCCCCCCAATTCCCGCACCTTCCCCCCCTCTCAGGTCCCCCCAATTCCCGCACCTTCCCCCCCTCAGGTCCCCCCAATTCCCGCACCTTCCCCCCCTCAGGTCCCCCCAATTCCCGCACCTTCCCCCCCCTCTCAGGTCCCCCCAATTCCCGCACCTTCCCCCCCTCTCAGGTCCCCCCCCCAATTCCCGCACCTTCCCCCCCCTCAGGTCCCCCCCCCAATTCCCGAACCTTCACGCCTCTGGTCCCCCCCAATTCCCGCACCTTCCCCCCCTCAGGTCCCCCCAATTCCCGCACTTTCCCCCCCTCAGGTCCCCCCAATTCCCGCACCTTCCCCCCCTCAGGTCCCCCCCCCCCCCCCCAATTCCCGAACCTTCACTCCTCTGGTCCCCCCCAATTCCCGCACCTTCACGCCTCTGGTCCCCCCCAATTCCCGCACCTTCACGCCTCTGGTCCCCCCCCAATTCCCGCACCTTCACGCCTCTGGTCCCCCCCCAATTCCCGCACCTTCACGCCTCTGGTCCCCCCCAATTCCCGCACCTTCACGCCTCTGGTCCCCCCCAATTCCCGCACCTTCACGCCTCTGGTCCCCCCCCAATTCCCGCACCTTCACGCCTCTGGTCCCCCCCAATTCCCGCACCTTCACGCCTCTGGTCCCTCCCAATTCCCGCACCTTCAGGCCTCAGGCCCCCCCCAATTCCCGCACCTTCACGCCTCAGGTCCCCCCAATTCCCGTACCTTCACTCCTCAGGTCCCCCCAATGCCCTTACCTTCACGCCTCTGGTCCCCCCAATTCCCTTACCTTCACGCCTCAGGTCCCCCCAATTCCCTTACCTTCACGCCTCTGGTCCCCCCCCCCCCAATTCCCGCACCTTCACGCCTCAGGTCCCCCCAACTCCTGCACCTTCACACCTCAGGTCCCCCCCCCCCCCCCCCAACTCCTGCACCTTCACACCTCAGGTCCCCCATTTCCTTCACACCTTAGGTCCCCCAAATTCCTGCGCCTTCACACCTCAGGTCCCTCCATTTCCTTCACACCTCAGGTCCCCCCCATTTCCTTCACACCTCAGGTCCCCCCATTTCCTTCACACCTCAGGTCCCCCCATTTCCTTCACACCTCAGGTCCCCCCATTTCCTTCACACCTCAGGTCCCCCCAATTCCTGCACGTTCACACCTCAGGTCCCCCCAATTCCTGCACGTTCACACCTCAGGTCCCCCCAGTTCCTTCACACCTCAGGTCCCCCCAGTTCCTTCACACCTCAGGTTCCCCCAGTTCCTGCACCTTCACACCTCAGGTCCCCCCAGTTCCTGCACCTTCACACCTCACATCACCAATCTGTTCCCCTCGGTCAGCCCTCAAACAGCTACACCATCAGGGACTTTACAATCCAAGAGGAGGAGGATAGGTGGGTCGGCTTCTTTCCATATAAATGTTCCCAGGGGGGCGTACACAGACACTGGGAGGAGGGCTGACACATGGTTGACGTCAGATGTCGTGCGATGTCATGAACCTCGGTGGGATGAGGGAGCGGAGGGGCAGGCAACGGCTTTTCACAGATTTCCAATAAAGCAGGAAGTATTGTGAGCGAAGATAACGACTGTTAGAGCTCATGATGATGTTAGATAACGTGGCCCCTCACTCAGCCCTCAACCTGCGTTTTCATTGACCTCAAAACTTTCCATGTCAAAAGTTATTCAACAGAGAAAAAAAAATAAAATTTTTTAGCAGCAAACCCCGACAGTGCTGAGAATGTTGTGGATCCGTATAAATAGGACACCTCTGGCTGCAGCACAACCATCAACATTAAAGTGTTCCTGAACCCACAACAGTACAATCAGTCTGTAGATGCAGGAAAAATGATTGTTATACACTACGGACCCTAAGGGGTTAATCCTCTGCACTGTGTAAAAAAGGCTGTTTGATCCCATCTTCTCTGATCCTCCCCTTCTTCCAATGTCCCCTCCCCCTTATCTCAGGGTAAGACATACCGTGTGGAGTCACTCTGCACATGCTCAGTTTGGTGTGCAGAGTGACTCCACACTCTGACAGGTTTTTTTTTTTTTTTTTCTTGGGAGAGTGCATGTGATCAGCACAGGGCCAATCAGCACTGTCCAGACAGAGGTAGGGATTCTGCATCCTCCTAGAGCAGAAAGAAAACTCCTCCTACAAGATTTAACCAATGCTCTGCTGAATAAAAGTCACAAGACTGCAATATACTGCTGGTGAGAAAAGGTATTTAGCTGTTTATATTTACTAAAATAACTGCATTTCCATGTTGTGTGTACTGTGGGAGAGCGGATGTAGAGAACGCGGGGTCCGGGGAGAGCGGATGTAGAGAACGCGGGGTCCGGGGAGAGCGGATGTAGAGAACGCGGGGTCCGGGGAGAGCGGATGTAGAGAACGCGGGGTCCGGGGAGAGCGGATGTAGAGAACGCGGGGTCCGGGGGGGGCGAGAGCGGATGTAGAGAACGCGGGGTCCGGGGAGAGCGGATGTAGAGAACGCGGGGTCCGGGGAGAGCGGATGTAGAGAACGCGGGGTCCGGGGAGAGCGGATGTAGAAAACGCGGGGTCCGGGGAGAGCGGATGTAGAGAACGCGGGGTCCGGGGAGAGCGGATGTAGAGAACGCGGGGTCCGGGGAGAGCGGATGTAGAGAACGCGGGGTCCGGGGAGAGCGGATGTAGAGAACGCGGGGTCCGGGGAGAGCGGATGTAGAGAACGCGGGGTCCGGGGAGAGCGGATGTAGAGAACGCGGGGTCCGGGGAGAGCGGATGTAGAGAACGCGGGGTCCGGGGAGCGGATTTACAGAACGCGGGGTCCGGGGAGAGCGGATGTACAGAACGCGGGGTCCGGGGAGAGCGGATATAGTGAACGCGGGGTCCGGGGAGAGCGGATATAGTGAACGCGGGGTCCGGGGAGAGCGGATGTAGAGAACGCGGGGTCCGGGGAGAGCGGATGTAGAGAACGCGGGGTCCGGGGAGAGCGGATGTAGAGAACGCGGGGTCCGGGGAGAGCGGATGTAGAGAACGCGGGGTCCGGGGAGAGCGGATATAGTGAATGCGGGGTCCAGGGTTTAGTAACACTTTAAATGATGGTAATTGGACATGGAAAGCTCCCACTGAACGCCTCAGCTGCCCCCCCACCCCTCCCCCCACCCCTATCAGGCAGCAGAATACCTTGTCGGTGTGTTGAAGGGCTGTTGGAATACATCCTCCAGCTTCTCCAGGACTTCATCCGTCCCCAGCGGAATCAAACTGCCTGCCGTACGTTTGGAGAAACTGGTCCAGAATACCTGCCGGAAAGCAGCAGCCGTCATTCACATGTTCACATGGACATCTACAGCAAAGCCAGCATCTAAGTCTATTGACCACTTCCTTACCAATGCTGACACTTCTCACACATAAAGGTAAAAAACAGCATTTTTTTTTTGCTAGACTCAGAACCCCCAACATATTTTTAGCACAGGAACTAGAGAATAAAATGTTGGGTGTTGCAATTTATTATGCCACTTTGCACAGGGGGTTTTTAAAAACATTTTTTTTTTTTTTTTACACTTTAATGAACTTTATTGCACACAAACACAATAGAATACCCAATTGTTTGGTGAAGCATAAAAGATAATGTTACGCTGAGTACATAAAATACCTAAACGCTTTAAGCCGCATGTGCCCGTGGACCGGCACCAGACGACAGGACCGTACTATCTCCATAGGCGGCAGCCTCTACAGGTTCCTGGTTCAGGTACACAGGAGGCCTGGTGCTAGAATTGCTGCTCTCACTCTGACGTTCACGGCAATACCTCACGTGTGATAGGAACACCCTTTACATACGTACATGGGACTTAGGTATGCCTTCGCATTTGCGCATGAGCACACGTGGGACGGGACAGAGGAGCTTTACATTTTTTTCCTTTTTTTTTTTCTACACTGCTCCTTTGATTTTGAACAACATCCCTTGTGATAGCATGGGCGGTGACAGGTCCTCTTTGTGGAGAGATCTGGGCTCTATTAGACCCCAGATGTGTCCTCTGGCCTCCAAAGCATCTGATCAAACCAAGGCTGGTGCTTGCAGGACCCGGTAACGGCCAGGTAAACAAAGAACCGAAACTGACAAAATCCTCGTTGCTTCTGGTTTCCCATTTCACAGAGAGGGAGGGATGACGTCAATTCCTCGCAGCCGATGAAACAGGAAAGCCCCAGAAAGGTGCCCCGTTCCATCGCCTGTAGAAGTGGTGGAGTGGCTGTATAGCCACACCATCACTTCTACATGAAAAGTGCTACGGCAGCTGAAAATGTTGATACCAGGATGATTCCTGTCGCTGCAGACATCAATCCGATGTAACCACCTACCGTATTTTTCGCCGTATAAGACGCACTTTTTCTTCCCCAAAACTGGGGGGGAAATGTCAGTGCGTCTTATGGAGCGAATATGGAGCGGCCGGTCCGGTATTTCCACCGCGGCCGTGTCAGAATACCGGGCCGGCCGCTCAGCTCTGCAGCGGGATCTTACCTGTTCCTCTATCCAGCGGCGCGCTGTCTTCCCGGCTTCTGTATTGTGGGCGCTGGGCATGACAGCCGGGTGCCAAGTGCGCATGCGCAAGAAGCGGTGCTTTTTGTGAATGGTAAGGCGGTACCTGGGACACATGACAGATCCCAGAAGCCGCCGGACCAATCACAAAGCACAAGTGCTTCTCGCTCATGCGCACTGGGCACCCGGCTGTCATGCCGAGCGCCATTACAGAAGCCGGGAAGACAGCGCGCGGCTGGATAGAGGAACAGGTATGAACAAACAAAAACTCTGCGGAAGTAAGAGCGGGTACCTGTCAAATTCAGGAACCTGCTCCCCCTCCTCCCCAAAGGTCAGCAGTCATCTGTGCTGTCCGCAGTCTCTGGTCATCCCTGTGCTGTCCGCAGTCTCTGGTCATCCCTGTACTGTGTCCGCAGTCTCTGGTCATCCCTGTGCTGTCCGCAGTCTCTGGTCATCTCCTGTACTGTGTCCGCAGTCTCTGGTCATCCCTGTGCTGTCCGCAGTCTCTGGTCATCTCCTGTACTGTGTCCGCAGTCTCTGGTCATCCCTGTGCTGTCCGCAGTCTCTGGTCATCTCCTGTACTGTGTCCGCAGTCTCTGGTCATCTCCTGTACTGTGTCCGCAGTCTCTGGTCATCTCCTGTACTGTGTCCGCAGTCTCTGGTCATCTCCTGTACTGTGTCCGCAGTCTCTGGTCATCTCCTGTACTGTGTCCGCAGTCTCTGGTCATCTCCTGTACTGTGTCCGCAGTCTCTGGTCATCTCCTGTACTGTGTCCGCAGTCTCTGGTCATCTCCTGTACTGTGTCCGCAGTCTCTGGTCATCTCCTGTACTGTGTCCGCAGTCTCTGGTCATCTCCTGTACTGTGTCCGCAGTCTCTGGTCATCTCCTGTACTGTGTCCGCAGTCTCTGGTCATCTCCTGTACTGTGTCCGCAGTCTCTGGTCATCTCCTGTACTGTGTCCGCAGTCTCTGGTCATCTCCTGTACTGTGTCCGCAGTCTCTGGTCATCTCCTGTACTGTGTCCGCAGTCTCTGGTCATCTCCTGTACTGTGTCCGCAGTCTCTGGTCATCTCCTGTACTGTGTCCGCAGTCTCTGGTCATCTCCTGTACTGTGTCCGCAGTCTCTGGTCATCTCCTGTACTGTGTCCGCAGTCTCTGGTCATCTCCTGTACTGTGTCCGCAGTCTCTGGTCATCTCCTGTACTGTGTCCGCAGTCTCTGGTCATCTCCTGTACTGTGTCCGCAGTCTCTGGTCATCTCCTGTACTGTGTCCGCAGTCTCTGGTCATCTCCTGTACTGTGTCCGCAGTCTCTGGTCATCTCCTGTACTGTGTCCGCAGTCTCTGGTCATCTCCTGTACTGTGTCCGCAGTCTCTGGTCATCTCCTGTACTGTGTCCGCAGTCTCTGGTCATCTCCTGTACTGTGTCCGCAGTCTCTGGTCATCTCCTGTACTGTGTCCGCAGTCTCTGGTCATCTCCTGTACTGTGTCCGCAGTCTCTGGTCATCTCCTGTACTGTGTCCGCAGTCTCTGGTCATCTCCTGTACTGTGTCCGCAGTCTCTGGTCATCTCCTGTACTGTGTCCGCAGTCTCTGGTCATCTCCTGTACTGTGTCCGCAGTCTCTGGTCATCTCCTGTACTGTGTCCGCAGTCTCTGGTCATCTCCTGTACTGTGTCCGCAGTCTCTGGTCATCTCCTGTACTGTGTCCGCAGTCTCTGGTCATCTCCTGTACTGTGTCCGCAGTCTCTGGTCATCTCCTGTACTGTGTCCGCAGTCTCTGGTCATCTCCTGTACTGTGTCCGCAGTCTCTGGTCATCCCTGTGCTGTCCGCAGTCTCTGGTCATCCCTGTGCTGTCCGCAGTCTCTGGTCATCCCTGTGCTGTCCGCAGTCTCTGGTCATCCCTGTGCTGTCCGCAGTCTCTGGTCATCCCTGTGCTGTCCGCAGTCTCTGGTCATCCCTGTGCTGTCCGCAGTCTCTGGTCATCCCTGTGCTGTCCGCAGTCTCTGGTCATCCCTGTGCTGTCCGCAGTCTCTGGTCATCCCTGTGCTGTCCGCAGTCTCTGGTCATCCCTGTGCTGTCCGCAGTCTCTGGTCATCCCTGTGCTGTCCGCAGTCTCTGGTCATCCCTGTGCTGTCCGCAGTCTCTGGTCATCCCTGTGCTGTCCGCAGTCTCTGGTCATCTCCTGTGCTGTGTCTGCAGTCCATTAGTTCAGAATTTTTTTTTTCCTGTTTTCTGCCTCTAAAACCTAGGTGCGTCTTATACAGCGACAAATACGGTACATTTGAGGACATCAGATGGTACCCTTCCGGGGAGTAGTAGTGAAAGAGGATCTGAACTCTGGAAGCTGTATCCCAAAACACAATTCTAGGACTAGTCACCAGCATTGCCTGTGGTCCCCTTGCAGCTGATCTTTTCCCCCATGATTCACACACTGGGGGAGATTTACTAAAGCCGGTCCACTCAGTCTGGGGCAGCGGAGCATGGCAGCCAATCAGCTTCTGACCTCAGCCTGTTCAGTCAGCTTTCAGGTTTTATTGCTAAAGCTTAACTGGTTTGTATGCAGAAGTGCACCGGATTTTGTACTCTCCAGCTTTAGTAGAAAAACCCCACCATGCCTTGCTCTAAACCCCACCATGCCTTGCTCTAAACCCCGCCATGCCTTGCTCTAAACCCCGCCATGCCTTGCTCTAAACCCCGCCATGCCTTGCTCTAAACCCCGCCATGCCTTGCTCTAAACCCCGCCATGCCTTGCTCTAAACCCCGCCATGCCTTGCTCTAAACCCCGCCATGCCTTGCTCTAAACCCCGCCATGCCTTGCTCTAAACCCCGCCATGCCTTGCTCTAAACCCCGCCATGCCTTGCTCTAAACCCCGCCATGCCTTGCTCTGCACACTGTACGTCGAGGTGGCCATCTTGGTAGAGGCAAGACTTTGCTTCCTCATGTCAGACCCTCCAGCAAGACCAATGAGCAGCACAGTAGTGACGTCACCAAACCTCCTGAGACTAGAAGTCAGAGGCAGCAGTGCCTTAGATGAAGGGCTATGAGGCTACAACACGGGAGTGCCTAGGCAACCTCACCAACCAGGAAGTGCACTATATTTCTGGAGGAATTCAGGACAGAAGGCGTACACTTTGGAGTAATGTTTATACACATTTCTCTGTAAATATGAATACATTTATGTCTAAATGCCTGTATTAGCTTCTCCAATGAAACTGTATTGAAAATATGAAGAAAAATCCCCCTTTATTCCTTGCTTTCCAGCTTTTTGGCTCCTCCCCTGAGAGAATCCTGATTTGTGGAGGTTACGAACACACTCAGGATTCAGTTACCCGAGGGCTCAGTTAGGGCGCCTCACTTTCCACTCCCCCACCCCCCTAATATTTGCAACTAGGACACAGACTGCTTCTGCCGCCTTGTGTTCTTGGTTGCTAGGACAAATGTGGCCCCTGCTGTCTAATGGCTTTTGTTACTAGGACGCAGGGAGCCCCTATCTTGATTGCTAGAATCCAGGCAATTACGGCACAGGCCTGCGTCCTATCAATAAAAGGACAAGTGAACGGACCCCCCCCCCCCCACCCCCGCATATCTAGTGACGGTGTTTGTCCCGGAGAAGTGCCTGGTACCCGAGGAAAGTGCTGTCAATTATAGTTAAAGTGATCGCAAACCCATATTTTTTTTAATAACGTCCATAACTTGTGCAACAGTTTTGCCCAGAGCAGCCCCAATGCTCCTCAGAGCATGGCTTGGCCCTGCCCCCTTTTTACTGGCTGTGAATGATAGCAGTGATAGTCAATGACTCCTGTTGCTGTCTCTAAACCAATGAGGAAGGAGAGAGCCGAGAGAGCGCCACTGCTCTTGATACTGCCTGTAGGTGCACTTTTATGTGCCTGCTCTTCATACCTGCTAGCAGCGTCTTTTCAAGGCTGATCTGTGCTGTAGAAGTAATCAATGCAATCAGAAGACTTCCTGCAAAGCCAAATACTGCAAATAGGGGGGCCATGGCCGGATCTAGTATGGCTGATGTGGGGGTGCAGTAAAAAATATCAGGGGGGCAGAGCATGCAAGGTCAGCGGGGCATTGTATAGGAGTCAATAGGGCAGCGTACGAGGGTCTGCTGGATGGAGGACACGGCGTTAGTAGGGAAGTGTACAAGGGTTTGCTGCATGGAGGACACGGCGTCAGTAGGGCAGTGTACGAGGGTCTGCTGGATGGAGGACACGGCGTCAGTATGGAAGTGTACGAGGGTTTGCTGCATGGAGGACACGGCGTCAGTAGGGCAGTGTACGAGGGTCTGCTGGATGGAGGACACGGCGTCAGTAGGGCAGTGTACGAGGGTCTGCTGGATGGAGGACACGGCGTCAGTATGGAAGTGTACGAGGGTCTGCCGGATGGAGGACACGGTGTCAGTAGGGCAGCGTACGAGGGTCTGCCGGATGGAGGACACGGCGTCAGTAGGGAAGTGTATGAGGGTCTGCCGGTGGAGGACACGGCGTCAGTAGGGCAGTGTATGAGGGTCTGCCGGTGGAGGACACGGTGTCAGTAGGGCAGCGTACGAGGGTCTGCCGGATGGAGGACACGGCGTCAGTAGGGAAGTGTATGAGGGTCTGCCGGTGGAGGACACGGCGTCAGTAGGGCAGTGTATGAGGGTCTGCCGGTGGAGGACACGGTGTCAGTAGGGCAGCGTACGAGGGTCTGCCGGATGGAGGACATGGCGTCAGTAGGGCAGCATAGGAGGGTCTGCCGGATGGAGGACACGGCGTCAGTAGGGCAGTGTACGGGGGTCTGCCGGATGGAGGACACGGCGTCAGTATGGAAGTGTACGAGGGTCTGCCGGATGGAGGACACGGCGTCAGTATGGAAGTGTACGAGGGTTTGCCACATGGAGGACACGGCGTCAGTAGGGAAGTGTACGAGGGTCTGCCGGATGGAGGACACGGCGTCAGTATGGAAGTGTACGAGGGTCTGCCGGATGGAGGACACGGCGTCAGTAGGGCAGTGTACGGGGGTCTGCCGGATGGAGGACACGGCGTCAGTATGGAAGTGTACGAGGGTTTGCCACATGGAGGACACGGTGTCAGTAGGGCAGCGTACGATGGTCTGCCGCATGGAGGACACGGTGTCAGTAGGGCAGCGTACGATGGTCTGCCGCATGGAGGACACGGTGTCAGTAGGGAAGTGTATGAGGGTTTGCCGCATGGAGGACACGGTGTCAGTAGGGCAGCGTACGATGGTCTGCCGCATGGAGGACACGGTGTCAGTAGGGCAGCGTACGATGGTCTGCCGCATGGAGGACACGGTGTCAGTAGGGAAGTGTATGAGGGTTTGCCGCATGGAGGACACGGTGTCAGTAGGGAAGTGTATGAGGGTTTGCCGCATGGAGGACACGGTGTCAGTAGGGAAGTGTATGAGGGTTTGCCGCATGGAGGACACGGTGTCAGTAGGGAAGTGTATGAGGGTTTGCCGCATGGAGGACACGGTGTCAGTAGGGCAGCGTACGAGGGTTTGCCGCATGGAGGACACGGTGTCAGTAGGGCAGCGTACGAGGGTCTGCCGGATGGAGGACACGGTGTCAGTAGGGCAGCGTACGATGGTCTGCCGCATGGAGGACACGGTGTCAGTAGGGAAGTGTATGAGGGTCTGCCGGATGATAGGCGGTCATGTACGCTCACCCACAGCTTTCTCCACCTTCCCACCAGAAATGTAATGTGCTCCCGCCCACAGCTCTCCCACTCCTAGGAGGTGATGTAACGAGGGGCGATCCTGTGATACCAAACAAGCCCTACTCCATACTTCTATAGGATGGTGAATCTTGGGAATTGTAATTCATCTGCAGTTTACAGAATAGTCTCCTGGATGCTACAGAAAGCCCAGCACGAGAAGCACATCTACTGAAATCCCCATAGGAGAGAAGACATAGTCACCAAGGTCGGGGGGGGGGATATGTGAGAGCCAGTATAATAGGGATAACCTGAGGACAGAAGAGTGTAGCAAAGGCTTCATTATGACAACTAGAATCCTGCTATAAAATGTGCACTAAAGCCTTTAGCATGCTGAAACATGGCTCTGCATATATTCTGTTGACTGCTCAAGCCCCCTACCCCAAAAGCAGGGCACCTCTGTGTTCAGCAAGGGGGGGCTTACTTTGTACGCAGGCCACATGCTCTTCAGTCAAGGCTGGGACGTCCTTCTCTAGAAGTGGACTTAGGTCTTCTTGTTGGTGGGGCCCGTTTGGAGCCAGGCCGTCTTCATTGCCGACACTGCAGACGTTGGTGATGACGATGCTTTCGGGTTCTGCTGGTAGTGGAGAAAAGCCGTTGGGTATCCCGCGGGCAGGACCTGAGGAAGAAAGAAAGCCTAAGTGAGGCGCGGGATTCTGGGACCTGAGCACCAGGATCATCACCAGGCAATACCCCCATATACCTGTCTCCTCCGCCTCTGCTATGTGATTGGCCAACGATTGTTCCTCCTTTGCAAATCTGTGTTGTGCCTTCCCCAGTTCCACCCCCACATTTCCCCCGCCTCCTTCTCTTCTTCGGCTCGATGCCCGCCTCCGTTTTACCCCCATACTCCCCCAAAGTTTCCAGTAGAAGGGCAGTGTAACTGTCCGCTTGTACAGGCGTAGGTACAGGGAGCGTAAAACGCGCAGCCGCACCCTTCGCCCTCTCCGCTGTCTGGGCGGCTGCCGACATGATTTGCGGAATTGAGGCTCCTCCTCTTCCTCTTCCTCCCAGCCGTTGTCCTCTTTGAGTGGGAAGAGCTTGTCATGTTTAACCGGGGGCAGCAGGTGGCTAGAGAAGGGGGGAAGGTGGCGCTGGACGGGGGTGTGCCTCATCGCGGCGATCTGGAACGACAAACAGCCATTAGAATTACCGCAACTAACATCTTCTTACCAACAGACAACATGGTGGTGGTGGTGGGGGACACAAATCTGAGGCTTGGGAAGTCATGGAGGATGTACCTTCCTAAGATCAACGTCAACTTTCATTTCACCAAAAGTTCTGCAAACATGAAGCATGAACACGGCAATATTTCCCTTTATTGTGACCACAGTGACTTCAGTGGTAATGAATTTCTCTTTCCTGTCTCCCAACTGACTTTTCCTGAATCAGGGATTGAGCACGGAGCATGGCAGACATCTAATGCATCGGAGCTACAGGTCTAGGGGCTCCTTGTGTGCTGCCCGTAAGGTACATGCGTCCCGAGCACAGAACCGAAGCATTGCCTGGAATGTGCCGACCTCCCCCCACTTCTGAGCACCGCAGGGACAGCTTTGTCATCCTCCATGAGCACAGCAGGCACCCTCCCCAAATGTGCTGCCTGTAATACGCATGTGTACCCACACAAGTCTGCTGCCTGTAATGTGATGGCCTCCCCCCACTCCTGAGCACCGCAGGGACAGCTTTGTCATCCTCCATGAGCACAGCAGGCACCCTCCCCAAGTAGTCTGCCTGTAATACGCATTTGTACCCACACAAGTCTGCTGCCTGTAATGTGCCGACCTCCCCCCACTCCTGAGCACCGCAGGGACAGCTTTGTCATCCTCCATGAGCACAGCAGACACCCCTCCCCAAATGTGCTGCCTGTAATACGCATGTGTACCCACACAAGTCTGCTGCCTGTAATGTGATGGCCTCCCCCCACTCCTGAGCACCGCAGGGAAAGCTTTGTCGTCCCCCCTGAACACTGCAGGGAAAGCTTTGTCATCCTCCATGAGCACAGCAGGCACCCTCCCCTCCCCAAGTATTCTGCCTGTAATGTGCCTGCCTCCCCCTACTTCTGAGCAGCGCAGGGACAGCTTTGTCATCCTCCATGAGCACAGCAGGCACCCTCCCCAAGTAGTCTGCCTGTAATACGCATGTGTACCCACACAAGTCTGCTGCCTATAATGTGCCAGCCTCCCCCCACTCCTGAGCACCGCAGGGAAAGCTTTGTCGTCCCCCCTGAACACTGCAGGGAAAGCTTTGTCATCCTCCATGAGCACAGCAGGCACCCTCCCCAAGTGGTCTGCCTGTAATGTGCCTGCTTCCTCCCCCCACTTCTGAGCAGCGCAGGGACAGCTTTGTCATCCTCCATGAGCACAGCAGGCACCCTCCCCAAGTGGTCTGCCTGTAATACGCATGTGTACCCACACAAGTCTGCTGAAAAAGACAGAAACAGCATAACGCAGGCTTCCCCTAAGCACACCAGCAAAGCACCGCCTGTAATATGCAATGTTCCCCCCTCCCCCAGTATAGTACATAGCGCATAAGGCACAGGTGGTTTTTTTACTGAGCTCATCACACAGATACATCGTACGAGGGACCCCCCCCCCGAACACGGACCCATCGTACGAGGAACCCTCCCGGACACGGACGCATCGTACGAGGAACCCTCCCGGACACGGCCGCATGGTACGAGGAACCCTCCCGGACACGGCCGCATGGTACGAGGAACCCTCCCGGACACGGCCGCATGGTACGAGGAACCCTCCCGGACACGGCCGCATGGTACGAGGAACCCTCCCGGACACGGACGCATGGTACGAGGAACCCTCCCGGACACGGACGCATGGTACGAGGAACCCTCCCGGACACGGACGCATGGTACGAGGAACCCTCCCGGGACACGGACCCTCCCGCATGGTACGAGGAACCCTCCCGGACACGGACGCATGGTACGAGGAACCCTCCCGGACACGGACGCATGGTACGAGGAACCCTCCCGGACACGGACGCATCGTACGAGGAACCCTCCCGGACACGGACGCATCGTACGAGGAACCCTCCCGGACACGGACGCATCGTACGAGGAACCCTCCCGGACACGGACGCATCGTACGAGGAACCCTCCCGGACACGGACGCATCGTACGAGGAACCCTCCCGGACACGGACGCATCGTACGAGGAACCCTCCCGGACACGGACGCATCGTACGAGGAACCCTCCCGGACACGGACGCATCGTACGAGGAACCCTCCCGGACACGGACGCATCGTACGAGGAACCCTCCCGGACACGGACGCATCGTACGAGGAACCCTCCCGGACACGGACGCATCGTACGAGGAACCCTCCCGGACACGGACGCATCGTACGAGGAACCCTCCCGGACACGGACGCATCGTACGAGGAACCCTCCCGGACACGGACGCATCGTACGAGGAACCCTCCCGGACACGGGACGCATCGTACGAGGAACCCTCCCGGACACGGACGCATCGTACGAGGAACCCTCCCGGACACGGACGCATCGTACGAGGAACCCTCCCGGACACGGACGCATCGTACGAGGAACCCTCCCCGGACACGGACGCATCGTACGAGGAACCCTCCCGGACACGGACGCATCGTACGAGGAACCCTCCCGGACACGGACGGATCGTACGAGGAACCCTCCCGAACACGGACGCATCGTACGAGGAACCCTCCCGAACACGGACGCATCGTACGAGGAACCCTCCCGATCACGGACGCATCGTACGAGGAACCCTCCCGATCACGGACGCATCGTACGAGGAACCCTCCCGATCACGGACGCATCGTACGAGGAACCCTCCCGAACACGGACGCATCGTACGAGGAACCCTCCCGAACACGGACGCATCGCACGAGGAACCCTCCCGAACACGGACGCATCGCACGAGGAACCCTCCCGAACACATCGCACGAGGAACCCTCCCGAACACGGACGCATCGCACGAGGAACCCTCCCGAACACGGACGCATCGCACGAGGAACCCTCCCGAACACGGACGCATCGCACGAGGAACCCTCCCGAACACGGACGCATCGCACGAGGAACCCTCCCGAACACGGACGCATCGCACGAGGAACCCTCCCGAACACGGACGCATCGCACGAGGAACCCTCCCGAACACGGACGCATCGCACGAGGAACCCTCCCGAACACGGACGCATCGCACGAGGAACCCTCCCGAACACGGACGCATCGCACGAGGAACCCTCCCGAACACGGACGCATCGCACGAGGAACCCTCCCGGACACGGACGCATCGTACGAGGAACCCTCCCGGACACGGACGCATCGTACGAGGAACCCTCCCGAACACGGACGCATCGTACGAGGAACCCTCCCGAACACGGACGCATCGTACGAGGAACCCTCCCGATCACGGACGCATCGTACGAGGAACCCTCCCGATCACGGACGCATCGTACGAGGAACCCTCCCGATCACGGACGCATCGTACGAGGAACCCTCCCGAACACGGACGCATCGCACGAGGAACCCTCCCGAACACGGACGCATCGCACGAGGAACCCTCCCGAACACATCGCACGAGGAACCCTCCCGAACACGGACGCATCGCACGAGGAACCCTCCCGAACACGGACGCATCGCACGAGGAACCCTCCCGAACACGGACGCATCGCACGAGGAACCCTCCCGAACACGGACGCATCGCACGAGGAACCCTCCCGAACACGGACGCATCGCACGAGGAACCCTCCCACGGAACACGGACGCATCGCACGAGGAACCCTCCCGAACACGGACGCATCGCATGAGGAACCCTCCCGAACACGGACGCATCGCACGAGGAACCCTCCCGAACACGGACGCATCGCACGAGGAACCCTCCCGGACACGGACGCATCGCACGAGGAACCCTCCCGAACACGGACGCATGGCACGAGGAACCCTCCCGAACACGGACGCATGGCACGAGGAACCCTCCCGAACACGGACGCATCGTACGAGGAACCCTCCCGAACACGGACGCATCGTACGAGGAACCCTCCCCACTCCGAACACGGACGCATCGTACGAGGAACCCTCCCGAACACGGACGCATCGTACGAGGAACCCTCCCGGACACGGACGCATCGTACGAGGAACCCTCCCGGACACGGACGCATCGTACGAGGAACCCTCCCGGACACGGACGCATCGTACGAGGAACCCTCCCGGACACGGACGCATCGTACGAGGAACCCTCCTAAACAGAACTTCCCAGGCAGAATACAACATCCATGCACACACGGTATGCACACACATATAATAAGGGGGTGCCGGGTGGACAGGTATGCTGTAACAGGGAGGTGCAGAGTAATGCATGTAGAATGTAATACAGGAGTGCCATATACAGGGATGCATGCACACAGAGGGAGAGGGGACGGGGGGGCAGTATGGGGGAGGGGTACACAGGATGTCACACATGGGGGGAAGCGTACACAGAATATATGGTGGAGTTCAGTAAAGAGGGGTACACACTGGGGGAATACAGTAGAGGGGTACACAGAGGAGGGGAAGGGGGTGCAGTATAGAGGGGTACACAGAGGGGAAGGGGGTGCAGTATAGAGGGGTACACAGAGGGGAAGGGGGTGCAGTATAGAGGGGTACACAGAGGGGAAGAGGGTGCAGTATAGAGGGGCACACAGAGGGGAAGGGGGTGCAGTATAGAGGGGCACAGAGAGGAGGGGAAGGGGGTGCAGTACTGAGGGGTACACAGAGGGGGAGGGGAATGGAGGGTAGTATAGAGGGGTACACAGAGGGGGAGGGGAATGGAGGGTAGT